TTCATCAGAAACTGAGATCTCAGCACAGGTGAAATTCTGGGGATTTGCCTCTGACTCACAGCGTAGCCACCGGCTGTCTGATATTTGGACAATCTCTCACTGTTTTACACGTAGGCTGACACATAGGTCAATTGTCAATTCTCTTTGCCATCAAGTCCTACTTACTGCTGTCTGCACCTTCAGACTTTGCATTCAGTCCTGTTGCCATTCTCCCAGTCTTTGGAAGTCTTGGAAAGGTGTGGAATGCCCTGGGAGTTCTCTCTTGTTAGTTTATTTAGATTTCTTTGTGTCCTTAGTGCTTTGATGGCTTTAAGAACTATATTTTGTTTTGATTATAAAGGTGGAAGCAATAATCTCATACATTTTTAATCTAAATCAAAAGCAGGACTATTTTGGTGGTTGTTGTTATTGGTGTTAGTAGTGGTGGTTGTGATGGTGTGTGTGTGGTTGAATGCCATATATGAAAGCAGGATGCATGTCTAATCAGCTTACTCTACGCAGTGCATAGACACATGATGCATATTTTTCCATCATTGTCCCAAACTACTTCCTCCTTGAAGGCCATGGTATTTGCTCACAACCCTCATGACTCCACTACTTTGCATGTAGTTCTTGCCACTCATTGTGAGTCTCTCACCTCCTTGGAACTCATTTTCTATTTTGGAAGCTGAATTATGTGTGGGATCTTGTCTCTCCCTCCTGCTTATGTGCAAACACACACACACACACACACACACACACACTAGGAAGATGGAACAATTTGTCTACTTCTGGACTCTGGCTTCTGAGTCAGTGTTTCAGTGCTGTTTCCACTGACATGTTGTGTTGAATTAGCTCCTGCATCATGTCAACAAAGCATCTCACCACAGAACAAGTTTCTTAGCACACTGGGAAAGAGCCAGGAAAATAGATAATTCAGAATTTGAAAAAAAAAAGAAAACCTGAAAAGGGTAAAACTTAGTTCTACCTCTTTCCCTGAAAATATATTAGGGCCTGAAGGACCTGTCCCAGGGTTGGAATCGACCTATAGCCCAAGGACATGGCTGATGAAGGGACAGCCAGAGATGAACGTTGGGAGGCCTTTGAAAAGGGCCCTGAGCCAAGGTCAACAGCTGTGGGAAGAGGGGAGGCAAAAGTTTAGGTAGTCCATAGCAAGAGCCTGGAAACTGGGGAGGGCTGGGGAGGAGATGAAATGGGGGAATCTGATGTCCCTGTGCCAGCTGTGGCTTCCTGGCCCACAGCTGATGGCACTGTTTGTGTTACACCGTGAAGCACTATTAACCATGAAACATCAGCACCCCACTATTCAGTTCACATGATTTTAGTGCAATTCAATGCAATTCAATCCAATCTGATATATTATGTATTAAGTAACTACTATATGTTTAATGCTGTGTTAGTCACTGTGATGATTACAGAAAAAGGATTGTACAAAACGGCTCTGTTCTCAAGGAGATTGTGAGTATAATCCTACTAAAGAAATAAGAACTGCTCAATATTCAGCTAAAATTAGAGAACAAAAATAAGAGAACTGGACTGAAAGTCAGATCAGGGTTTTAATTCCAGACCCGCAACTTAGTGATTGGGCCATTTAATCTTTCTGTACTTTACTTTCTTCCACTGTAAAATGAGGGATTGTAATAGATCAGTGGTTCTCAAACTTATTGTACTTAATATCCCCTTTTATAACAAATAATTTGTAATGCCTCATTTACCAAACCGAAATGAAATTTGCAGATATTATACTGAGATACATAATAAAAATCAGTATAATGACCTAACTATAATATAAAAAAAGAAATAAAAAGCAAGCATTTTAAAATAAATATCTACTTTAATATGTAAATTTTCAGATATGGCTACAATAGACAATGTAATGAAGTACTCAGATAGTTGCACCTACTTATAATGAATAAGCATGCATTTAAGAGAAGTTGAAAAGATCGGAAGCAATCTGCACAAAAAGTACATTAAATGAAAGAGCAGAGGTATATGCACACATATTCTAGAACTAAAACACATGCAAGGGTAACCAGTAACAGACCAGACTTATTTGTATATAAAAAGAGAAAGAGGGGAAATAGCTTTAGTTAAAGCAAGGACAATGTGCCAATTCAAATTACAGGCTGTAGAAGTAGAGAAAATGAATATTCTTACACACGAGCTGAGCTTTATTTATAAATGTGGTGTCAAAATAATGGCTGATGTTGTGACATGGGATGGGAGAGTGACAAAGCATCATGGAACACGTATCTCCTGTGTGAAGTCCCACCATATGTCCAGGCGTGCATTCAGTCTGTTTCTGGTTGTCTGGTGGGACACTCGAGATTTGGATAGGATATGAGACAGTTCTTTGTTGTGTAGGACCATTCCCAGCATTGTAGGACTTCTAGCATCCCCCTTCTCTCCCTGGCACATGCTAGCAGTGATCTAGAATTATTATTACAGCCAAGAATACCCCTTTACATTTTCAAGATACCTCCCCAAGTAAGAGGTGTGTTTGAAGTTCCATCAGTCTACTATTTTAACAATTCAGACCCAAATGAGTAGGATGAATGATAAACTCAATGGCAAGGCATGGTGGAGGTGAACAGTGAGAAAAGAATCATCTTGATGGAAGAAATGGGGCTTCCACTTACAATGAATAAACTTGGATTCAAGAAAATTCTGGACTTCTAAAACTGTTCTAGATGGGTGGACAAAATTTGGCTAGCAAGAGTGGAATCAAGTGTTGATAAGTGAAATAATCAAGATTTCAGGGAGGACCCCTATAGAACTTAGATATTAAAATATTGATGATCCCTGGGCCTTCTCTTCCCATAACTCCAATATTCAGATCCTATTTTATGCTCACATGTTCACTACAGCAGATCACAAAAATCGAGAGAGGTGCTATGTACTTTAAAAGAGATCTACTGCTTCATTAACACTCCCCAATTTTAGACTTCCCATGCCTTTGCACAAAGACTTTCATGAAACGCTCTTCAACTACTCTGTGGGTACACTGAGTAGGAGTTAGCCAGGGAAGAGACATGGCGTGGCACTAAGGCCAAGCCAGGGAGATATCAAATTGACTTTGAAACAGCAATGATTCTGAATTACAGAGATTTCAACATAGCCAAAGAAATATTTTCAAAAAGCAGTCACATGGGGCAAGGCGAAGGGGAGGGGTTTCAAACCCAGGGATCCCAGGGGGCTCTTGACTTTCATTGATTTGCGGAGTATCGGTGAGTGTTTCCATCCTGAGAACACAAAGCCCTCCTCTAGTAACTGACACTCCATTGAATGTCGTTGTGGATGATGCTGAGATTTAGGCTTTTAAGAGCAACTTGGGAACCTTTCTGTTATAAATGGAGTTTTGATGATAGCTCTTAAGACTCCGAGGAAATATGTCATCACACCTAAGTGGCACATGCCTGCTGGAGCAACAGAATCAAGTATACCTGCAGTGTGCTCACCATTGGCGTCTCCAAGGAGCAGTTGTGGGCGGCAGACACAGTTAGAAAAACCAAAGAAAACTCTGGGAAGAAGCTTTGGATGCCCTGTCAGTGAGGCCAAACCCTGAGGCTGCAAGGAACATGGACCTTAACATCCCAGGAGAAGGGAATGAAAACCAGCCACCTTGGGGTGGTGTGGACTTCACAACCACATAGCTTTGCACCTTTTCCTGAGACAGTACAGGCAGGATTCAGAGCTTCAGAGCTTCAGAGCCCTCCTCTCCTGATTTGTGACCGATCAGGATCACCAATGCTATGTTAGGGGTGTCTGGGTCATATGCCCCTTTCCCCAGGTGACTGTTTAAACTCATCCATCACTGTAGGATTTCTGTAAAAGTGGACTGAAGGGGAAAACAAGGCAGGAGGATGCTATGGAAAGAAGGAAGCATGCAAGGGCTACAGGAACTGGGGTTACAATGGGATGGAACTAGAAGGATCATTGCAGGCAGAATCAGGTGTCTAGCTCCTGACTTGGCTGGTCACTTACTGTCTGTGTGGCCTCCCAGGCCCTGCAGGACTGGCCACCACACTGGACGTCACTCACCTCTTGCTGTCTGTACTCTGGCGGTTTTTCCTTTCTCTCCCGGTTCCTCAAATCCTCCTGGCTTCTTTCACTACACATGCCCTGGCCTCTGGACTGTCCCTGGCCTGCAATGTCAGGGTGTGTCTCTTCCCTGGCTAACTCCTGCTCAGGAAGTAGACGGTGCACCCACAGAGTAATTGAAGAGCGTGTCACGAGAGGACTTTGTGCAAAGGTGTGGACAAGTTTAGGGGAATCGAGAAGGTGCAGTGAGCAGCAGGCACCCGCAAAGAGAGAAGTCTTAGTTCACATAGGCATGTAGGGGCAACAGGATGAGGAGATAGTGGCTCTTGGGGAGCATTTGGCTGTGGAAAGGGAGCAGCCACCACCACTGCAGCATCTGGACCCGGGGAGGCCCGAGGACAGAGGGCCACTGCAGGAGAACCATGGCCTCTTTGAGCAGAGTGACAGCCAGAAACATAGGAAGAAGTAGTTCCAAATCTTGCTCAAGTGTAGGTAATTGGCAAACCTAAATTGTACCCAGACCTTAACTGCAAGGCATTCTGGGAAATGTGGTTGCTTGTAAGTTTTCCAGCCACTCCCAATGAAAGGCGAATGCAGAGGATGAGAAAACCAATCTGAGCATCTGACCCACCTCTAGGCCTTTTCTAATGAATTCCCTCTTCCCAAACCCCGCTTTCCAGATATTAGCATTCTTGCCCTCATTTCTTTTAAGTCTTTGCTCAAATACCACCTTCCCAGAGGGGCTGGCCTTCCCCTTTCTCCCTGGAGTGGTACCCACTTGCTCTCTGATCTCTTCCCTTGCCCTAGTTCCTTAGTAGCTCTTACCACTCATGACCTGAAATGAAAGCCTGTGTTTATCCATTTATTCCCCACCCCCCCAGAATGTAAGCCCACGTGAGCAGGTATTTTTTATTTTTCTGTTTTTCTCAATCACACTGTCTTCATTATCTGTGTTTTAGTAAGTATCTGTTGAGAGAATGTTGAATGGACACACCAGGAGAAGAGGAGACCAAGCCAGACACTGGAGGGTGAGTATAAGACACACTGGTGAGTCAGGGGTGCTCATTCCACAGAGGTGATAATGCAAAAGGATTGAGGCAGAGAAGGAAGGTGACACTACCTTGTCATTATAAAGGTGGTTACTCTGGCAGCAGCTGAGTAGGTGGCCGGCCTGGGGAGGGGAGCAAAGGGAGACACCTGCTCAGCAGGTGGGGGGTCAGCCAGACTTTTGCTGGGACCTCTGAGATGCAGCTCACTCTGCCAGGCCCTGAGGGGTGTGTCAGTGGCCTGGAGTGTGCGCTGAGCTCTGACAGTATAAAAAGCACCATCTCTGTCCCCTGAGGAGCTAGCAATCTATTTGGGGAAATTAGAGTCAGTTGCATGCATAAAATATGTGAAGCACTTTAAGAAGTACAAATTAGCACAGCAGGAGTACACAGGTCCCCAGGGTACCCTGCAAAAGGAAGAGCTGGCTGTGGGAACACTTGACCTGGGACTTCCTGGAAGCCCTGAGGATGAGTGATGTGCCAGCCAGAGGAAAATCCTGGGTAGCTGGAAATGCAAGAACATGCCTGGGAGCTAGTGTTCAGTTGGGAAGGCATGGCCTGGCCGGACACTGCCTGGCATGTGGGAGGAGCTCACATTCGATCCCTTTCAAATTGCTGAATCAACAACTGTTGGGTTTTGCAGTCTGAAAATCCAAGTAACGGCACCAAATGTGTTGAGTTTTGCAGTCTGAAATGTCGGTTCTTGGTGCACTCGTGGCTGAAGAATAACCAGATGCGCCAAAGTAAGGCAAGCATGAAAATGAGGTTTATTGAGGAAAGAAAGATAGGATTATAGAGCAAGAGCAAGATAAAGGTTTACAGAGTGAGATACATATGCCACAGAGGATGACTGGACACACTATTGCAGCAAAGGGAGAGCAAAAGGAAGGGCTTGGTCATAGTCGGCGTCTTGTTTTACAGTGGCTAGATAGGGACCTCCCTGTGGCTAAGACGTCACCATGGAACCACTTTGATTGGACAGTTGGGAGTTGCATGACCTGAGTCTTACTGTGCGTGTGGATCTCCCATGAGCCTCTCTGAAAGCTCATTTTGCAGGGGCAGGGGAGGGTGGCGGTGAACTGCAACAGCACCCACTTTCATCCCTAGGAGACCCAGAATCCCTTGCTATCTACCTAACACAACATAGCTAAAACATTCAGCTCCAGTGACAGTTTTTGAGTATTCTTGTCCTCTTCTCTTTGGCATACAGCCCTGGAACTGCATCTTCCTGCTCAGAATGCTATCTTTCCTGAATGTTAGTTTTCCTCTCTGACTCTTCTTCCTTCTTGGATAGAGATTATATCTTCTGTATTTTTCTTTTCCCCCTCCTCACTGTTGTGCACAAGTACATGGTTCCCTCTGAGGACTGCTTCAAGGAACAAGACCCCCTAGATCCATTACCTGCTTTCTGAACTTGAATTACCTTGGCCAACAGTTCTTTAGGCTGCGCGCAGTTCTTTAGGATGCTACAATCAAAGCATCTTTCTCCCCATGATAGTTGAGTTTATGCCAACTTGGCCAGGCCACAGTGCCCAGTTGTTTGGCCAAACACCAGTCTAGATGTTGCTGTGAGGCATTTTCGAGATAGGATTAACGTTTAAATCAGAGGACTTTGAGTAAACATGGGTGGGCCTCATCCAATCAGTTGAAGAACTTAAGGGAAAAGTCAGAGGTCCCCTGAGATGGAAGGAATTCTGCCTCTGACTGTCTTCGGACTCAAGACTGCAGCATCTGTCCTTCCCGGGCTTTCAGCCTGCTAGCCTGCTCTGCAGATTTCGAACTTGCCAGCCTCCACAATAATGTGAGCCAATTCCTTCAGATAAATATCTCTCTCAAATATATACATCCTATTGGCTCTGTTTCTGGGAGAATGCTGACTTATTCCTGCTCCAGTTTCTCGTGCCTAGACTTGCTGTTCCTGATGTGGTGGTACCGCCTGCCCAGTGACTTAAGTCATCCTCTCTCCCCTTGCTCACCTCTGACACCCAATCATCACCAGACCTTGTCAGTTCCACTTTCTCCACTTACTTTAAATCCTCTTTTCTATTTCCATCATGATGTCCCTGTGAAAGTCTCTATGTGCTCTAGGCGGGTCTACCACTCCATCCTACTGCTGGGTCTCCCTCAGTATCTGTTGCCTCCTCCAATCCACGCAGTAGTGGTCTTTTAAAATAATAAACTTGATCTGATAATATCTCTACCTAAAAGTACTCAATGGCTCCCCCGGGTCCCTATGATAAAATAGAAATTCATGAATGTCACTTAAAAAGCCTTCAAAGATCTAGTTCCTGCTACATCTCTCATCCCACCTCCATCTCTACCCAACTTCCACCGACTTACTCTGCTTCTTGAAGGAATTATGACATCTCATGCCTCAGGGCCTTTGCACATGCTAACCCCTTGGACTGGAACAAAGCCTGCCCACATCTTTCCTCTGGCTAAGCCCCACTCATCACTCAGGTATCATTTTCCTTCAGGAAGTATTTTATGACTCTTCAGTTCTAGGTCAGTTTCTGCTCCCAAGTGATTCCTCTACACTTATCACATTATATTATTATTACCTATTACGTTTTCCATATCTCTCGACCTGCAGACTGGGACTTGGTCTTGCTCACTGCCTATTGTATCCCTAGTGCCTAGTATATACCAGGTGCTTAATGCACTTATAGTGAATGAATAAGTATAGAAATAAATTCCATTTCACCACCTATACAAAACCTATCAAAACGTCAATGTCTCACTAACTTCTTAGTCTCTAATCTCTCTGCCTTCAATGACCACTCCTTTGTCCAAAGCTGTCAGTAACCTGCCATGTCTTGTGTCATTACAGGCCTTCCATGAGATGGCTGTTCATTCCCAGGGCCCTGTATTCTAGCACAATGAATCTACTGGCCATTTGCCCACTTGATTTTTCCTCCTCTGTGGTGGTTTTCATCATGATGCCTCTACTTGGAAAAAAAGACTTCCTAGACTCTGAACTCCCTTTCTCCTCTTCCTTGGATTAAGGTTAATTATTATTTCCTCTAAACACCATCTAATTTACATAGGTGGAGGAAAGAGCAGATACAAGACCTTGGACAAGTTAGTTCATTTTCAGAGTCCTTGTGTATAAGATGGGACTCACAATCTATTTATTTTCACCATAATAGCTTTCACTCATCTAGTTATAGCATGTGCTGGGTAGCCTTCTCAGCACTCTATGTATACTAATTTATTTAATCATTGAAGCAAAACCCTCTTTAGAGCTGGAACTGAGGCAGAAAGAAGTCAAGTAACTTCTCCAGCGTCACAGAGCTGAGGAGTGGCAGAGCTGGCATTGTCCCCTGGCAGGCTGTTTCCAGTTCTGAGCTCTCACCGGGCGTTGCTACATTGTCTAATTAAAAGTGAAAGTGAGATACTGCATGAAGGTGCTTTGGCTGAAATGCAGCTCTAGCAGGCACGGAGTGGGTGCCCTGAGGTCAGGTAGATTTGAATGCGATTCTGCCATTTAGGAGCTGGTTGACCTTAAATAGGTTATTCATATAAGCTTTAGTCACCTCATCTAAAAAAATGGCATATTATTAGGATTTATGTCAGAATTGTTCTGGGTGTTGAAAAAGAAAACATAGGGAAAGTTCTTAGAATAGGGCCTGGTACATGGTAAAATATAAATGTGCATTTTTATAATGATATATAATAATCATCATCATTATCATCACATTCTGCTTTGTATTATAGTTATTTTGGTGCTCAATTTTAATCCCTCCTATAAGATTGTAATCTTTCTGCTCATGGCATGTGTTTTAGATCCTTGCACACAGTAGAGATCCTTTCATGGTAACTCATTTAAAAAATTATGGAAAGATTGGTAAGTTGAAGAGGGCGTTGGGCTTTTGGTCACCAAAAGAGTCCCCTAAGAAATGGTGGTGATGTCAATGGACAACACCGATTCTGACTCTTCTCTGGTCTGTCTACTATTCCCACTTAAAGGGCACCTGGCTGGAGGGCTGGGACTCCCCTTTCATTCTGTCGAGGCAGGATGAGTAATACCAATTGCACAACTGGGTCTGAAGGAGTCAGGTTCTTCCCTGAACTGAAAAAATTTCCTTAGTTTTTTCAGACTCAATAGGGTCTTTTGGTACCTCCACTAGTTCTATAGAACCTGATGGAACAAGGACATAGAAACAGTAAGGAATTCAGGAAAGAATCAGGACTTTGGAAAAACTTACTGGAACCCTGACTCACCATGTACAGCATGATTCTTGGCAAATCTTGCAAGTGCAGGGGGTCTCACTGCCCTCATTTGTAGAAGTTGAGAGATCACACTGGAGATCCTACCTGAATGTGATTGGGAAACATTTTTAGGTTCTCCTGGGGTTATCACTGTTGCCCTTGTGTTAAATGTGGGTCTCCTGGGCATCTAAATTGCCACTGTTTCACTGACTCCCAATGTGGAGACAAGTTCTGCAGGGAACTGAGCTCATTTGTAGGTAGAGTGAGTGTATCAGGCAGTGTTAACACTGGCAGGAATCTTAGGGACCAGCCAACCCAGCAATTCTCACACTCCTGCTGCCTCCACGATTTCTGCTATATCTGCTCAATCTCTGCACTGTTATTGATGCGATATTTTCCTTTAATACCACTCAAGTTTTCACTTAAACAAATATAGAAAGGAAACCTTGTATCATTACTGTAAATGGAAAACCAATATCACTTCCTATAAAAAGAAGCCAAAAAAAGGAATACAGTGAAAACTCAGTGATGTTATTAAATTCAAGCTAGGTATGCAGCTTGTTGAGGCCCTAAGCCTGAGGCCTCCTTTCTCTTCCTTGAAAAGGTAAATTAGCAGACATTAGAGAGGTGTTAACTGAAAACTCTAACCAGACTACTGCGATTTGGAGGATTGAAAGATAATTGAAAAGGAGATAAACTACTCATTAAGGATTAAACACAACTTAATGTTATATTCATGCTCCACCTAAAATGATCTTCTCTGATCTATA